ACATCCAGGGGCTCGAACAATGCCGTCTTTCTATCTTGTGTCTCTGTTTCCTTGCATGCTGCTCCTTTCCATGCAGGCTGTTCCCACATACCGACAAAGGCCAGAGATGCCTTGGACCCCTGCCTGTCCCTAGTAGGAATGCAGGTGGGGATAGGGGATTCACTCTTCCTGCTTCCCACCCACACTTACAGCTGGGGGGAAGGGCAGCCTTTCTGCAAGTTGTAAACTGAGAGTGGGAGAGGGCTGGCTCTTCAGATGAAGATCAAGGCGTGCAGCCAAGAAATAGGCGGTGGGCACTGCGGGGCAACAGCACTGATGCCGCAGCAGTAAGCAGGGCCTCCTGTTGGCCCGTATTTAGGTCCACCATTGAGCTGATTTCCCATCTTACAGCAAGGGTTGAGAGCTCATGGAAGTTGCTGGACAGAGCTGGGCTCTGGGCCCTGATGTAGGACTTTTTCTGATTCACCGCACTACCCCTTCTCTGGTGCCCTTTTAAAAAGTTCTCAGGACAGCTCCTGCTGTCCCCACAGCCTAGAGCAGACTGCTGGTGCAGGGTGTCCGTGCGGCTAGCCTCCCAATAAAATTATGGGTCCCCTTCTGGTATCTGGGGACAGCAGGGGGACAGGAGCACAGCCCCCTCACTCCCGACACCCCCACCCCACCCAGGAAACTAAGTTCTGTTCTCTGGGACCCGTTCCTCCATGGGTGATATCATCTGCACACAGAATCCCTTGTCTGCTGAATGTCTTCCTCTCCATTAGGAGCTGAGTAAGAGGCTCTGGTGGGGAGTTGGGGGTGGGGACAAAGAACTTCATACACATCAGGAGAGGCTGGAGGGGGATTCTCTTTGGGCAGTGAACACAGCTGGCATGGGCATCCTCCTGGAACCAGCATAGGTCTTCAGTTCTACAGAACTGAGAACACTGATTTGGGCCAATACCTGTTATGGTCCAGGCCTCAGTTTACCCATCTGTACAAGAGGGGCTTAGGCTGAGAACTCTGTAGCTCTAAAACTCATTGCTTAACAGAGGGCCACCTCCTCTTTGTCAGGCTGCTTGTCTCCTTTCTGTTCCTTAAACACACTAGACCTGGTCCAGCCTCAGGATCTTTGCACAGCCTATCCGTTCTGCCTAGGATGCTCATCTTCCTCAAATGTGAACCCCATGAGGGAGGCTCTCTGTGTTATTCACTACTGGATCCTTGGCCTGCCTCCTGACATCAGCAGACATTACTGAATAAATGAAGGGTCAAGAGCTTTGGGTTCAGAAGCAAGTGGGGCTTGAGTTCACCACTGATTAGCTGTGTGACCTTGAGCAAATTCCTTCACCTCTCTGAGCCTTGTGCTCCTCTGGTATGAAGTGCAAACAGAAGAACTACCCCGTGCGGTTCTTACCAGGATTAACTACAGTAAAGTATATAATGGCTGGTGCAGTGTGAGCCCTTGAGAACTATTTGCGATAATTCTGGATGTTTCTAAAATATTATCTGTAACTGTTTTGCCACGGGTTGAGAAAACTCCTCTGGGGCATCCATAGAATGCATCCACCAAAAGAAAACCATCTGTGGACACAAAAAGGGGTTCAAGATAGACTGTTTACTTGCTTATTTCATCATTATGGGCATATAATGCATGCTCATAAAAATTCAAGCAACAAATAAAGTGAAAGTTTTCTGCATCTTATGTTTCTCATCCAAAGCTCATGCTATATTCAATGGAAAAGGCAGGTGAAAAAACAACATGCCTGGTATGAACTCATGTTTTAAAAATAAAAATATGTTAATATATACTCATAAAGGGAAGCCTATAGGGTTTACATTCAAACGTTAGGGTTGTTTGGCAGGAGAGTAGAAATTGCTGGCATTTTTCGTAGTCATCTTTGCTATTTCTGTGGTTTCCTTATTGTCCTTGATGGCTGACTATGTATTACCTTTTGCAATCTGGAAAAGCCCACGTAACAGTTAACTGAGCCTCCCCACTCCCCTCGCCTGCCACCATCTGGCTACTTGATTCCCAGGGACTCATGAAGATTCAGGTGTTCCACGTTGTCTTCGGCAGCATTACTGAGGCTTGGGCAGGGTGGGGGTGGGGGTGGCAGTAGGGAGGGGTTGTGTCAGAGAGAGAGAGCCCTGGTTCTCATAAATAGTTAAGGGTTGAAGAGATGGGTGTCTTGTGGTCATGGGGTTTGGTGCTATCCTAAGATGGACAAAAAGAATGCGTTAAGCTAAGCACAAGTTTGAAACTCAAGTTTGGAACCCTGGCCATCAGTCGGGGCAAAAATTGAAAAAACTAAAACCCAAATCAGTAACAGCTCACCATGTCTTAAAAAATAAAGGGAGTTTATTGATACATGTAACCAAAAGCCTAGGGCCCTAGAGCTTCAGGCATGGCTGGATCTAGGTGCTCAAATGTTGCCTTCCAGAATCTTCAAGGCTCTATTTTCCTCTGTGCTGTCTCTGCTCTGAGTCGGGCTGTCTACATGCGGTGGCAAGATAACCCATTGGCAGCTCCAGGCTCCAGTTCTAGTAGCTTAGCAATCCTAACAGACACAGGGCTTCTCTCTCACAGGGCTTCTAGAAAAAGTCACAGGGAGGCCCTGATTGGCCCGGCATGGCTTTTCTGCCCACCCCTGAACCATGAGCTAGGGTGCTGATTGGCTGATCCTGGGTCACGAGATCATCTGGCCACCAAGGGGATGGGGTCAGCTCTACCAGAATCTGAGGCCTGAGAGGGAGGGAGGGGTTGTGCTCACAGGACAATGGGGGGGGGGGGGGGCTGTTTGCAGAGGGCACAACTCCTCTCCAGGAGCTGTGCTCCATGAAGTGCAGAATTGCCTTTTATCAGGAAGGCAGGATTAATCAAAGCACCCTGCCCTCAGCTCTCCCAAAGAGCGGACAAGGGAGGCCGACATGGGGGTGGGATGGGGGGCAGGGAGAGGAGTAAAGGGTGTGTGTGTGGGGTGACGGTGGTGGAGGGGAGTCCTGTCCTGCCTGAAGACCAGAAGGCAGGGCAGTTCAGAGTCAGCAAGGGGCTGTGGCTACATCAGCCCCCCTTCCAGATCTCAGTATCCCCATGGGTACAAGAGAGGTTGATCTGACTGAAGCTGACAGGTTTTAGCATGGTGCTGTGTATCCTTGGATGAAATTATCGGGGAATAGCTGCCTTTCCCTTTCCAGTGACTCGGAATGATTTCTTAATGGAAATCTAGTTTATTGCTGTGATCCATGCTGGCAGGGAATGATACCATTTTTTTCCAGGAGGGGCCTTTTAGCTTGGTTGTAAATGAAGGGGAGTTTGGAGGCTATTTCTGGCAAAGACTGAGGTGGGTGAACAATGTGGGGTTGGGAAATGTCAGGAGCCCTTGGGGAGAAACCTGAGTCAGGGTCTGGGAAGAAGGGCTGGTGCAGAGAGCAAGGAGGGGCTGGGCAGCTGGGAGGGGAGCTGGTGGGACAGGAATGTCACTCCTCCCGGCACCTGTCCCCAGGCTTGGAGAACTTTGACCCCATCCCACAAACACTCCTGGAGAGAAAGGCGAGGAGGGAAGCCTCCTCAGTGCCATCAGGTACCTGCGTCTAAAATAGAGATATTAATAGCAAACTACTGAGAGTCTGACATGGGCTGGGGGCTGTTCTAAGTGTGTACAGGGCTTCCCTCAGTCAAGCCTCACAAGTGTATGAAACAGGCATGGCTATTAGCCCCGTCCTACAAGTGGGGAATCTGAGCTCAGAGACATGAAGCGCCTTGCTCAAGGACACTCAGCTGGTGAGCAGTGGAGCCACGATCAACAACTGGGTGCCTGTAAGGATGGGCAGGCTAGGCTTGGAGGCAAGTGATGGTCAGGACACGACTGCTGGGTGAGCCAGCGGAGGAAGGCAGGAAACTCAACTAACTTGAGGAAGGAGGGTGGGAATCTGGAAAAGGCAACCCTTAATCTGGGCCTTGAAGGAGCTATACAATTTAGACAGGCTGAAACGTGCAAGGAAGAGTTTTCCAGTGGGAGGGAACAGCATAAACAAAGGCATAGAGGCAAGCAGGTGCAGGGGACATTTGGGACAGGACAAGCAGCCTGGCAGGGTCTCCCCCAGTGCTTTTGGGTCACAAAGCCACTTGAGCAGTGGGATGAGGGTGGTACTACTGCACCCTGAAAGGGCCTTGAGGCCTGGAATTGCCAGCATTTGGGGGGACGGCTGCGGGATGGCTCTCCCCAAACCGCGGGTAGTTTCAACCCGTGAAACCACACAAGGGGGCAAGGGGGGAAAGCCTTGGGTCCCAGAGCCAGGACTGGAGGATGCGGAGGCACAGAAAGCCTTGCTCCCCTTGGGCCTACGTGGAGGAGTCCGCTGCAGTCTGGGAGGCTGTGGATGGACAGGAAGCCGGCCATTCCTTCCGTGAGCCAGAGAATGGCCTCTGTGTGAGCCACAACAAAAAGGCTTTTCTGCCAAGTTGGAGGGGGAGGAAGAGGCCAGTTGGCCCCTGCCCCAGCCTGAAAGGGGGCTCTGTTGGTGGCCCTGGGGTCTTCGATGCCTAGAATGTATGGGGAGGGAAGGCCAGGGTGGGCAGAGGCCTCCTCATCCTTATCTCTGTTCTCCAGCAGCACCAGGGTGAGCTGGGCCTGAGCTGCTGTGCAAGACAATCTGTCTGGGTTCTTCTCCCAGCATGGCCATTTCCTAGCTGTGTGACTTTAGCCAAGTCACTCAACTTCTCTGAGCCCTGCTTTTCTCATGAGTAAACTGTAAGTGGAGGAGTATGCACGGCCACTGGGGTCGCGATTGCACACTGAGCAGTTGCTGAGTGCCGGGCACCATCACCAGCCCTGTGCAGCCATCCATCCTCCTTTCACTCTCCCAGCGACCCCCGGCAGGTCATGTCACCCCCTCCATTGAGGTGTAAGCACCCTCGGCCTCAGGCTGAAGCCCAGGATGTTTGGAGACTCTCAAACTCCAAGCTGTGCAAATGCAGAGGCAAGAAGCCTGGAAGGAACATGCCACACTGTCAACACTGGCCTGGGGAATTGGGTGGCTTATATTTTGCTTCTTTTTGTGTATCTGTTACATCGTAATTATCTTACTTGGGAATTAGCAAAACGGGGACCGTGGGGCCCATGGTGAGTTTAGGTAGAGCCACATTAAACAAAACCAATGTAAAGATGCACGTTCCTGACACCTGGAGGGGTGTCAAATTGCACCGCTGGTCTCTCTGAGGTCACCTCGGAGACCTTCACACTCCTCAGCCCGCAGGACAATAAACGGGGCTCCCCAGATGAGCTGTTCCTTCAGCCATTGGGTTTCTCTGAGATTTTACCAGAGAGCTCAGGGGTGCAAGTCTCCTCAGGCAATTTCCTAAGGAGCTGAGGCCTCGTCTGCCAAGTCTTCCCTGGCCTGCGCCCTGAGGAAGAGCTCGGTGAGAGATCTCACATCCTCTCCTTTTTTGCCCCTGTGCCTCCACACCGCCCTCCACCCGCCTGGTGACCTCTGGGCTTCTGGGTGACCCTAAGGCTGCAGGCTTCGGGCAGACCTGGGTGGGGCCCTGTGGCTTCTGCCACAGAAAAGCTGACGAGATGGCTTCTGCCTTGGCCCTCCATGCTGACTGCCAAGGCCCCTGTGGTGGGGGAGCTCACAGGCCATTTCCTAGCTGAGCCCGAGAGGCCTTTGGGGCTTCTGAGGGCCAGAATTTCCTACTCTCCTCAGCCAGTTTTCAACACAAAGGGAGGAAAGGGTGGGATCAAGGGGGCTGGGGAAGAGGTGGGCAGCTGAGGGGAGGGTGGGGCCTGCAGCAGGTTGAAAGACCCTGTCCCGCTGTCGTGGAGGCCGGGCCCGCTCCCTGGTCGGGGTGGAACCCCACTAGAGCTGACCATTGCCTTTCTGGGGGTGCAGGCCGGTACCTGATAGCTTGGCCCAGAGGATGGACTTGGGTGCAAGGCTTGCCAGCCACGCCCAGACCCGAGGGGCAGTGACACTCAGTCTCCTGCTGTCCTGGGCATTGTCTGCAGCCTGCCCAGCGTGAGATTTTCTGCTTCTTCAACTATGACAGGGGCAGATCTCAGGTGCCCCCTCACCCTCTGAGCAGAGCAGGTGATGAGGGGAGCTTTTCAAATGCAAAATGGCACCGCGTCCCGTCTCTTGCCTCCGAGCTGAGTCTTCAGGTGGCCCAGAACCCAGTCTGGATGGGTGGAAGGACTGGGTGGCCTGGCCTGGTTTTCCCACCCCTCCTGGACACCCAGAGCCTGGGAAGCTGGGGTGCCCTTTCTCACCATGAATGAATGTCAAGTAAATGCTGTACTCCTCTTTCCCACCCCGGCAGGGCCAATCCCGGTCCCCTGCCTCACCTTTCTCGGGTCTATGCAAGGCAACCACCCCTTCTTCTGAGCGCTGCCCCTCCCAGGGCCACTGGGAAGGAGCCACCATAGACCTGGGAACAAGGTCCCTTCAGCATGAGGGCAAGTTCCCTAATCCCAGCCCGGACTCACTCCTGTCACCCGCAGCCCCTCCAGCTGTACAGTCCAGCCCTGGGCCTCTCACAAAGGAGGCCACACTTGCCGGCTGTACAATTTAATCAGTGCAGATTATTTACAGAAAGAAACGTATGAGGGTGGACACTGACCTCCACCCCCCATCCCTTGGCTGGCTCTCCGGTTCTGAGGATGGAGGGGGGAGCAAGCCGCTGGACCTGTGATCCAGGTCAGCCCATGAGAACCCCACCCTCCAGGGGCCTCGGGGATCTGGGTGGCAGGCGCGCTTGCCCCGGGCTGAGGGGAAGCAGAGGGGACGGAGCCGGCTGTACAGTACCATTTCCACAGCAGCCTTGCCGCCTGCTTACTTCGGGAAGGAAAAGAAGGAGGAAGTGTCTCTGCCCTTAGGGCTGAGCCAAGGAGAAGGGGAGTCTCCGAGGCCACAATGGGCTCCTCTGGGGGCTCCACAGCCACATCCCAGTCTGCATGAGGGGATGAGCTGCTGGCCCCTCTCCACAGTGTCCCCCCCTCCCCAGTGCCCTGGGGGACAGGGAGTGGAGGGGAGGAAACCCCAAGCCTGGTGCATGGTGGGCTGTGGGCACCCATCAGCCCCCTGTCTCCCTGGGGCCACTGGGACCTTGGCAGCTGGCTCCTGAGACCGGTGGGGTTCTGAGACCCCTGAGGACAGTGGTGTGGATGAGGGTGGGTGGGAAGAGGCCTAAGGAAGGAGCCCAAGTGGGTCATAGCTCAGAGAGGAGTGGACGGGGGCTAGAAGCCCAGCCTGGGGGGGGGGGGGGCGAGGCTCCTGGGTGGAGGGGCCGTGGCAGACCCCCTTTGGTCCTTGGTAAGGCAGGCCAGGAGGTGTGGGCTCAAGCGGTATGTGGGAGCTGGGGCTGTGGGCCCCTTGGCTGGTCGGGGGTGGGGTGGGCGTCTTAAGACACGAGAAGCCTCAGTTACTGGGGTTGAGAGAGGTGGGCTGGGAAGCAACCAAAACTCAACATGACTCATGGCCAGTAGGCTACCTCACCCTTCCGTCTGTCCCCTGTGGCCTGGCCTGCCCCCGGGGAGTAAGCTCTTCCTAAGTCAGAGATTCAGGTGGGTGGAGACTAGTCAGGTCCCCCCAGTCTCCAGAGCTCGCTCAGGTTGAGGAGGGCCCCTCCAAAACCCTTCAGCTACTTTCCAACTGGGCCTTCTGACCCTCTGGTCCTCTGGCTGTGCCCGAGCCAGAGGCAGTATGGGGTGGGAAGGGGTGGGGTCGGGGAGGTAACCCCCTGTCCAGAGCAGAACTACATTTAGAAAACTCCAACCCCTGCCCTGATGGACTGCTGCTCCTAGTCAGGAAAGTAGAAACAAATACTCAATTAGTGTGCAAAAAAAAAAAAAAAAAGAAAAAAAAAAAAAAAGAAAGAAAAAGAAAAAAGAAAGAAAGAAAAGAAAAGAAAACCCTGGGCATAAATAAACAATGGGGCAGGGCTGGCAGGGATGTTGGAGGGGCCTGGAGGAGCCCCCACCCAGGGGCTGAGGGAGCCATGGAAGGCCCTTGCTGGGTGCCCCCAGGAGCCGTCTCAAAACCACGGGCACCGCCAGCCCCGGCCCCTTAGCACCGTGAGGAGCGGGAGGGCCGGGCGCGGGGCGGGGTCAGACCCACTCCTGCAGCGAGCGCTTGCAGTAGAGGAGCATGCGCGGGGCGCCCTTGCGCTGCATCTGCACCAGGGCGTAGGTGAGGCCCAGGATGCAGAGGAGCAGCAGCAGCGGTGGCACCAGCACCATCACCATGTTCACTGTCCGCGTGACCTCCTCCATCTGCACCACCACTCGGCTGCCCCCGTCCTCACCTGTCCCCTCCCCGAAGTCCCCCTCTCCGCCACCCGCGCCGGCCTCGCGGCCCTCATCGCCCTCTTCGCTGTCACCGCCCGCCCCGGGCTCTGCACCCCCATCGGGGTTGAAGGGCGGACGGGCCACATCGGGCCATCGGGGTCCCGTGTCCACGTGCTCTTGGCAGCCCATGAAGTCCCTCAGGATGGATTTGGGGTAGCCCGGCTCCATTCGCAGGCGCTCGTTGTCAAACTTCCAGTACTTGGTGCCCTTGTAGAAGTACGTGTAGGCTGCAGGGGCAAGCGGGGATGAGTGGTGTCAGGCTGTGCCCCAGCCGCCGGCCGGTGACCCTCAAAGAAGGCCAGGACATGCTGAAGGAGCCCCAGCTTGAAAACACCCACCCCGGGGGCGCCTGGGTGGCTCAGTCAGTTAAGCGTCTGACTTCCACTCAGGTCATGATCTCACGGTTGGTGAGTTCGCGCCCCGCATCAGGTTCTCTGCTGTCATCACACAGCCTCCTGGTGGTCTCCCCCCCCCCCCCCCCCCGCCCCTCGCCCCCTCTGCCCTGCTTGCACACTCTCTCTGTCTCTCTCAGAATAAAAACTTAAAATAAAACACCCACCTTCTCACTCGCTTGCCTGAGCATTTTCAGATCTGGCCCCTCTCAACTTATGGGAGCCAGACCTGGCTCGGAGAGGGGCAGGGTTTGGGGAAAGGACCTGACGGTGCTGCCTGTGCTTCCTGGCTGGGGCAGCACGCAGAAGGGTCTTGCAGCCTGCCGCATAAGGGCTACGGTCAGGGGGCCCTGCTACCTTGTCCCAGGACTGGCTCACCCCACACCGGAGAGGTCAATGTCTTGCTCAAGGCCAGCCTTGCACACGGCCAGCCTGCAGCAGACCTGGAGCAGAGCCTAACATTGCCTTGGATGGGCTCTGTGGCTTTGGGTGCTCTGCCCATGTCCCATCAGCCCCACGAAGGGCCAAGTCTGAACTATGAGTGAGTCTATACTCTGCTGATCACAATGAGATGAGAGTAGTTGCATGGCGATGCCGTCACACACAGATGCCACGTGACCTGCCTAAGCACTGGCAAAGTCAGTGGGGTCTCCCCTGAGCCTAAGAACCTGGAACCTGAGAACCAAGACTAATGGTTTTTCGTAAGTTTGCCAGAGACCCTGCTGGAGAAATAAAAGCCACGGCTCCCTGGTGCTTAGTTATAATGACAAAGGTCAAGCTTCCTTTCCAGGCAGGTAAGCGGGCACCTTGGTAGGACTCTTGCCCGCCATTGCTTTGAGCCAAGCTAACCCCCCTCAGGCTTCAGGCTCCCTGTGGGTTGCCCCGAAGGGAACAGGGTAGTTCTGAGTTCCTGCTCTGGACACAGGCGGACCTGGGTTGGACTCTTGGTTCCCCGCAACTTTCTTTCTGTGGGGTTTGGGGCCCTTTACTCAAGCTCTCTGGTTTAGTGTGACTGTCTGTAAAGAGGGGATGGAGACAGTGCAGGAGGGACCAGGACAGTCATGCTCTGGAAGCCCCCGACCCAGGGCCTGCCATGGCTGTGTCCCTCACACCTGCCATCGAAAGGCTGGGCGAACCCTGTGTGTGGAGGAGGGGATGGTGAGTGCTGGGCGGGCTGCAGGGGGTTGGCCCAGTACCTGCATCGTTGCTCAGGAAGGCCCCTTTGGGGGAGGTAGGGATCCCCTGCCACACGCTGATGGGCTTAGGGTAGCCAGGGTCTCCACGCTGTGTATCCTCATTAAAGCGCCAGTACCTGTGAGCAGAAGCACCGGCTGTGGTTCTCTGGGTAGGGGCGTTCGGCTGGGGCCTTCTGCCTTTGAGGAAGGCGGTGCTCACCTGTCCTCTTGGAAGAAGAAGGTGTGACCTGTGGGTTCCCACCAGATGGCCGTGTCGATGCGGTCGTAGGGGATGCCCAGGCCGTAGCTGGTCAGCGGTTGCGGGTAGCCGGGCTCTAGGTTGGCTTCTCGGAAGAGCCAGTAGCGGTCACCTGCAGGAGGAGGGGCGGGTGGGTGAGGACAGGCCTGGGGCAGAGGGGCGTGGGATGGAGGGGACACGGGGAATGCTGTCCTGGGCTTACACATCCACACACATCCGCTGCCGCACTTACCCCCCCCCCCCCAACGACCTTGTACACAGGACAGTGTAGGCACTGACCCCTACACACACACAAGACAACTCACTTGCACGTCACACACACTCAGCACTCACGGGCACCTGTGACATACTCATTTACACACGTACAAGTCACTCACTCACACCTGTACCCACAGCACACGGTCACACTATAAATGGCCTGCACTCCCATGTGAACATCCGCGCCCCCCCCCCCCCATACACAGTTCTTGTACAGAGGGAGGAAAGAGGGGGAGCCCTGCCTGGACTCTGGGCCCAGGCGCTTTAAGCGTGGGCTCAGGCCAGCTGGGCTGGGGACACAGCTGATCCACCGGGGGTGCCGCCCTTGAGGCCCTCCCCAGAGAAGCAGGCCGCACAGGGAGGGCCGGTGGCAGGGAGCTCCACTGTCCCTGCAGACAGACCACAGAAATCCTGCCCGGGAAGGAGGGGATGGCGGGGGGGGGGGCGGCGGCTCTTGCCTTATGAGGAGGGGCTGCAGGAGGCACAAGACGCAAGGAAGGAGGAGTCACATGCGGAGCCCCTGTGCTACAGATGGACGCTCACCTCCAGTCAGAGCAGCCGCTGGCCCCCAGGGGCCCAGGTCCCCCTGTCCCCCTGTCCCCAGGTTTCTGTCTCCTCCTGCCCCACCCCTGCCTTGACTCGGCTCCCCACACTGTGGACTATGCCATGTAGCCCTTCGCTCTCCCCCTCCTTCAGGCCCGCTGGGTCAGAGGCCAGGCCAGAGGTCAGGGAAGGGAGGCCGCCCTGCCCTCCCACCTACCCCAGCTTACCTTTAAAAAAGACAAAGCGTCCATCTTGGCGCTCGTAGGCAGCACTGATGTCACTGGGCAGGCCACGCCAGAAGTGCCCAATGGGCATGGGATAGTTGTCCAGGACGCGGTTGTGCCGGACCCTCCAGAACCAGCGGCCCTGGGGAGGGCGTGGGTGTGAGTGGGCAGGGCAAGCTCGCTCCCTCATAGCGGGAGAGGCCCCTCGTCCGGCTGCCCCTTCCTAGGTCAGGGAGATCCGGAGGGCTGGCTTGGAAAGCCAGGGCAGCACCCATAAGTGAGCCCTGGGCGGGGTGTGGACCCCTGCACTCGCTGTGTGACCCTGAGCAAGTCCCGTGTCCCTCAGGCTGGTTTCTTCTTGGTCTAGGGTCTGAGGGCTCCCCAGGGGCTGCTCTGTGAGGGAGGGGTGGGTGCGCTCGGGCAGTCAGGTGGGGCAAAGATGCAGGGGTGGAATGTGGGGGCTGCTCTCCTGCTCTGAGACCGGGCCAAGGGATCAGGGGAGACACGGGCAGGGGCCAGACCTTGAACACGAACATCTCCCCACGCAGCATGGCTACTGTGTCAAAGTCCCCGTCGCAGATGTTAGGGCCATACTGGTCAGGCCGTTCCGTGGCTCGGGGCTGGGCTGGGGGGCCTGGCTTTGGGGGCCGCTCCGGCTTCCCGCCTGGGGGTGGTGGCTGAGGGGGTCTGGGAGGCCGATGGTCTGGCCGGCCCGGTCGCCGGGGAGTCACAGTGGGGAGAGGCCGGGTGGGCTGTGGCTGACCATCCGGGGTGCCTGCAAAGTGGGGGTGGGGTGAGTGGGAAGTCAGAAGGTAGCCCCTACTCAGAACCAGGGGACCCTGGGGCACCCAGCCCGGAGAGACATGTGCTTCGGCGGTGGGGTCGACCTAGGTGACGCGCCCCCCTGTCTGTCCACAGCCGACCCCTCCCCCACACCTGCCATCACGCTCAGGAGGACCTCTGTCCTCCATACAGCCCTCTCCTTCACCTCCCCACACTGGACGTGGGTCACTGTGCCCCTGAGGCTGCCCTTTCCTCCACTTCCCCTTGGGGACATTGCCCTCAGGACACCAGCCTACTTTGGTGGACACATGCAGAGGAAAGAACATGGTTCTGTGACCTCTGCCAGCGGCCCATCTTCTTACCAGGTTGCCGGGGACAGAGTGAGGAAGTATCTGTCACGTGCCCAGCAAGGCAGGTACCGCCAGCCCTAACAAGGGGCTCGGGGTGGTGCCGAGTGCAAGCCGGGCCCACAGAATCAGTCCTCAGGAGCCCTTACCACTGGAGGCCTTCTCGGGTGGGGCCTGGACTGAGGGGGGTGCCACCTGCCTCAAAGCCACCAGGAAGTGATAAGCCAACAACACTCGCTGGCGAGCTTGGGACAGGCTTGGGTTGGGAGCGAGAGTAGGAGGAACGAGATCTGGGGCCAGGGCATCTTCTGTCTAATAAGAGTATCAACGACACTGAGGAGGAGAGGAGCGGTCTGTGAGGGGCCTTGGAGACCCCCGTCTGGAGCCACCATGAGGGCCCTAGAGTCGGCCAGTCCTGCGTGTGACTTCCAGCACCATCACTCACTCCCTGAGCGATGTGGACAAATCACTAATCCTCTCTGGGCCTGTTTCCTCATCGACACAACAGGGAGAGCAGTGGCACCTATGCCTCGTAGGGCTGGGAGTTGAGAGCTGACGTGCAGAGCCCGCTGGCCGTGCCCACGCTGCCCGCTCACCGTAGAGCTGCTGGATGCCCCGGAGGTCGTCCTCGGGCAGCTGGAAGGTGTCGGTGTCCATCCACTGGTAGAAGGGCGCCATGATGGCACTGGGGTTGCTGGAGTGCTCCAGCCCCAGCGCGTGGCCCAGCTCATGCACGGCCACCAGGAAGAGGCTGTTCCCTGCAGTGGGGATCGGCCGGGGGGTGGGGGGGTGGCACAGTCAGCTTTGCTCTGGCCCAGGCCCTGCGGGCTGAGGCCATCAGAGAGCTGGCCCTTCTGCCATTCTCAGAAGACGCTGAGCTGCTCTGACTGCTAGGCCTCAAACTTCCCCATCTGAGAGGTGGGTAAAATGATCCCTCCCTTTCCCTACCACCCCTTGGAGGTCATGGGACAAGAGACTGAGATACTGAGGGTCAGTGCTCTGGAAAACTGCACTGGATGAAGCTCTCCCCTCCCAACCCTGTCTCTGCTCAACTGGGTCAGAGGGCAATGCCCAGCTCCGGCTCTGCCTCCCCTCCCCTGCCCCGGCCAGGTGTTCTCACCATGCAGGTCGGTGCTGGAGAAGGTCCAGGGCTCATCTGCATCGAAATGGGTATCCCCGCCCAGACCAGGGCCAGGGAAATAGGCGTGGGCCAGAAAGCCCCCTGTGCCATCAAATGGTGAGCTGTCGCCGTGGAAGCCAGAGGCAAAGAGTACCATGATGTCAGCCTCCTTCTGCCTCCGCAGCCGGATGTCTTCATAGGGCACCTCCTGGAAGACCAGGGGCGTGGCCTGCTCCCACACACGGAAGGCCCTTCGCACTGCCTCCAGTGAGTGGTACCATCCCAGCTTCTCTGTGTAGTTCTGGATGCTGCAGTGGGCAGGGAGACCGGGGAGTGAACCCAGGGCCTACTGGGTCCGCTGTCCACTGCTAGCACCCACTGGGTGGGGGCGAAGACACATGGTCACAAGGAACATGTGTAAGATCTGAGCTGGTTCGTGGACGGTGCCCATCAATATCAACTACTAGTTTATTCTGATGTGAATTTGAAAAAGACAACTAACATGTCAAACCCAGGAGTTCATTAGGATATGGCTAAATAAGGTTGCATTGTATTCAGTTAGCTTAAATAAGAAAACCACTAATAAAAGTGCTATGAAGCTAAGAGAAAGAACTAGACAGTTTGATACAAATGGCTGAGGTTTAGGAAACACAGGCCAAATGGCTCTGATGATTGCAGGGTCAGGCTGTCCTAAGTTCAAGGCCGGGCTCTAACATAATCTATGCGACCTTGGGCAAGTGACTTAAGTGTTTCTGAATTTGAGTTTCTTCATCTGTAAAATGGGGAAAAGGAGAGTAGCGCTCTCATCTTGGGGGCCCTGGGAGGATTAAATGAATTAGCTCATGTAGAACATGGGTCTGGAGTCTGCACGTGATAAAAGCATGATGAGGCCTGTTATTACCCACATAAATCAGATTAAGCTTCTGTGTGCTGGACAGATCTCCTCCCTTAAAAGCTGTTGGAGCCATGAAGTCACTCTGGGGGCCTAGGGTCTAAGTGGCCGCGGGAGCCGCTCTTCCTCAGGAGATAGAGCTGCGGGTAGGACTGTGGAGGGACTAAAACAAGAAGGGGAGCCCTCAGGGACTGCCACATGGCTCAAGGCTCAGGAGGCTTTCTTGCCAAAGGACTCAGCAGAAAGGAGGAAGGTGCCTGAACCAGGGTTTTTGCAGGGGACTTGCTGCCTGCACACCTGACAGATGCCCGGATTCCAGCCCTTTCCACCCTCCCCCCCCCAACCCCTCAGATACCTAAAGCCCCATGCCCTACACTGTGGAGGCCCCCAGTTTGTACTGGTACAGGAGCTGAGCTGTGAGGCCAGCCCCGGGCTGCTGGCGGGTGGGGAGCGGGGAGGGAAGGAGGATAGAGCGGAAACAGCTCCAAGGGTCCTGACCTTCACTGGGGGAAGACCGGCCAGGGTGTGCGGCCGATCTTGTCAGCGTGGGAGCAGGGTCAGCTTGTCTATGTTGGACACCCCGGGGTGGGCTTCTGGGAAAGGAAGCTTTCCAGACAAGCCCACTGGGAAGCCTGAGGCCTCAGCCTGGGAGAGGAGAGGAAAGAGCGGTCTCTGGGCAATGCCGTGGGAGGGACGCTACCACGGACAGCCATGGTCCCTACCTGAAGGTCAGGTGGTGGTTATTCCACTTCCTCCCAGTGAGGGCATAACGTTTCCGCCGTCGCCGCAGATTGGCTTTCACGCGCACCCCGAACTGGTCTGGCACCCCGCAGCGGGGTCGCTTCATCCACCTGGGTCATGGGCACGGAGGGGTAAGCCCAGAGCCTCTCCTCCACACGCCTTCCTGCTTCGGCTCTGCCTCTTCCAGGCAGTCCACCTTTCTTCCACCCTTTTGCCTTGGGCCCCCAGCCACCCTTTGCATGGGTGTGGTGGCAGTGGGAGACTCTCTGCGTTTCGATTTCCTCATCAGAAAAACAGGCACACTGACCTCAGCCTGGAAGACTGAGTGCCCGACAGAGGCTCACCTTTGTGGAGTATCACCAGTATCACCCAGGAGTGGGAGAGTTACCCCTGAGGCCCTCTGTCCTTGCTACGGTACGCTCACGTATGCCCAGGGATGTGGCTTTGGGTCCCATCACCCCTGTCAGATTCAGAGCAGAGCTGTGGCCTAGTGAGGATGTCCCATCCAAGGCACATGCTGTTGGTCCTCCCCATTCCTGTGCCTGTGGCAGACATCACTAACCAATCCCATCCTCCTTGCTGCCCAGCCAGATTCACCTCAGGAGCTTTCTCAACACGAGTTTTCAGGTAGCCAATCCCAACCAGTCCGAACTAAGATCAAACCACTTGCCATCTCTTGTCTAGGTCACTCTATCCCGGAAACTCCACCTGCCAACCCCTTTTCAGGGCAAGCCGGGAGGGCAGGTGCCAGTGGGGTCTGGGAAGGGCCCCATGGAGGGACTCACGCCTTGGTTTCTTCGTCAAGCACGCCTGTGACCGGAATCCCATAGAAGCGCTGCATCTCGGCGAGGGCTGAGGCCAGGATCTGGGCAGAGCGCATGGTGGACATGTGGCGGCTAGGCTGGGGCAGGTAGCCGTAGAGCCTCAGCCAGTTCTGCAAAGGACAGGCCACAACTCGGTCGGCACGTCTGGCACTGCTAGTCCCAAACATGCACAGCCTGCAGCCGCCCACCGCCCACCACCTCCGCCATCGCTCTGTTGGAGCCACCGCCGCCTCCTGCTAAAGTGACCACATGAGCTTCTGTGCTGCTCTGCCTGCTTCCACCTCCTATGGTCTGTTCTCACACAAGAGCCAGAACAAAAGGCCTTTACAAGTCAGGTCTGGTCAACCTTCTGGTTCTGCTCAGAATCCTCCCGAAACTTCCCAGCTCAGAGTCAAAGCCAGTTCTTACAGGAGCCGCCAGGCCCCTCACTACCTGCCCCTGCCTCAGCTCTTAGACCTCACTCCTCCCACCCCCCACAGGCAGTCATGCTCCTGTCTCAGGGCCTTTGCACTTGCTGTTCCTGCTGCCCAAGTGCTCTGTAAGGCTCACACCCCCATTTTCTTCAGTCTGTGCTTCAACCTCGCCTTACTGGAGGGGTGTTTCCTGACAACATAATGTTAAAAGAAGACCGCCATCCACTACACCCTGCATCCCTTCTCCTTCCCTGTACTTGTGACCATATGACACATTATATATTTCCCTTAGGTATTTATTGTTTGTCTTCCCCCATTGTTTGTCCGTGAGGGCAGTCCACAGTTGCTGTCCTTATTGTCGGACTGGGCACACCAGGGTGGGCCCCCTACCACTCCTGACAGACCGCTGGGGTTTCAGAGGTTCAGAACCTCTTGAGGCCTCACCAAGCAGGAAAACCAGCCCCTTGGGCTACTCCCTGACAAACCCTAGGCCTCCTGGAAGCAGAGCAGATGGATTGGGGCAGCCCACCCGGGGCCAACAGGGTGGGCCAGGAGGCCTGAAGTCCAGTCCCTGCTTTGCCACAAACGCTTTGCTCTTTCTGGGCCTGAGTTTTCTCAGGGGACAATGGGGCTATTGGGGTTGGGAGATTTGAGAGAGACAGCCCTGGGAAGTGCAGCTGGCACGCAATGGGGGTACCCGTCCCCTTCCAGAGTCTGCTGGGCGGGCCTTGTCTTCTCCTCCATCTATCCATCTGTCCATCCATTCACCCACCGCACCCCTCCTGCCAAGTCTTTCTGAGTACCCTCTCTGTGCCAGGTACCATGCCAGCTGGGGGCTGTGGAGGACCACGGCAGAGGGGTGCTGACCTCCAGGGGTTCACAAGCTCCCTGGGGAGACCCACTGTACCCAGAGAGGGAGGGTTTCACACCTGCAGGCCTGTGAGCAGATAGGACCGTCACAGTCGCAGCCGGAGGATGGGATCCCCGATGAGCCAAGCTGAACTGGGGTAAGAATTCACCTTGGCCATGAGAGCATAGTGACCACCATGGGAGGCCAGGGACTTCTGTGGGCCTTGGCCACACGGAAGTGTCCTTTACACCTTTCCTGGCCCACCCTGGGGCCTCTGGGGCCTCCCCCTCCCCTGAGTGAGGGCACCTGAGGCCTGCTCTCTGGGAGGCTCTGGAAGGTTAAGACCCCATATCAAAGTCCCATAAGGCAGGATGATGGCCCGATATGGTGGTTGCTGTGGACCAACGGCCATGTGTCAGCTGGCCAGGGCCACGCCCTTATCTGTCTGCCACCAGTATCACATCCAACTCCTCAAGCACTTGCTCCCTCAGTGCCCCCCACCGGACCCTGGCACGGCTGGGCTGCCCACATAGTCAGCTCAGCAGTGCCCAGGTTACAGCTGGAGGGAATGGCTGCTGAGTCAACGAGGGTGGCAGACAGACGCCTGGCCCCAGCTTCCAGGCCTCCCGGGTCCTGGGGAACTGCCACAGAATAAGGCAGAGACATGGAGGTGGGAAACCACCGTCCGCTCTGGGAACAGATCTGGGGACAAATTGTGGCCCTGCCACTTCTGAGGTGTGGCCACATGCCTCCCGGGCTTCAGTCCGTGGTCAGTGAAAGCGGGGTGCTGTGCTAGGACCTGCCTCATCTCCTGGGTTTCTGTGAGGGTTAAGCTGGGAGTCCACACTACTGCCTGGCAATGTGCCGGGTTGGGGAAAGTGCTCAATAAATGTAATATTAATGACAGAGGCCTGTCTGGTTGTCCATGGAGCTGCAGCCTTTTGCCTCCACCAACAGAGCTGGAGGGTCCAGGCTCCAAGGGGGGCCTAAGTGCCGGGCAGCCTCAGGTGAGGGCACAGCAGCGGCCTCCCCCGTGGCCTCCCCCACCGGCCCTCCTCACTCACCCCTCTGGCCCAGGGCTCCTTCCCTCAGCTCCACCGGACACTGGTGGTGCCGTGGGCACCCTCCCTGTTCTTCCCAAGCACGGGAAGCCTTTCCTGAAGCTGTGTGTGTGAGGGGCAGGGCGGGAGGTCCCCACCCGTAATGGACAGTTTCCCTGAAGAGGCATGGGGAGACCTGGAAGGCAAGGCCAGGCCGCTAGCCCAGCTCCAGCAGCCAGAGGAGGTGGGGGGAGAGGTGGAGCTGCCCGCTGACAGATGAGGTCGCCTCTACATCACCTATTTGCATAAGGTAAAAATATCTCACTGGAGCGCAATCACAGGCCACCAAGGGGCTGATTAGCGGTGTCTGCAGAGTGACAGAGGGAGGGCAGGCAGGGGAGGCTCAGGCTGGGGCCCTGGGGAGGGAACGGGAGGGGAGCTGGGCCTGTCTGCAGTGAACAGCTCCAGGGCCCAGCACAGCCGATGGGGCTGAGGGGCCCTTCAATCCTGGAGGCAGCTCAGGGGGTGATGGGAAGGTCCCACGGGTGCCTGCGGACCCTCCTCCGCACAGACAAGCACCCTCTGGGTCTTAGGGAAGCCAAGAGCTCCCATTTCAATATGGGCCAAGCCTTGAACCCTCAATGCCCTCGGCCCCTGCCAGGATGAGAAGCCAGGCTGAGAACCAGCGGCCTGTGAGGGAGGGTGAGCAGATACGTGGCCTGGGCCCAGAGCAGCTGAGCCCCAGATGACAAGGCGAAGAAGCTGACGGAGGCTGCCTGACTCTGGCAAACTTGTGTTCGGGGCTGATTGCCAAGTGCCAATCAGTCTACACCCCCCGTAGGGCTGTAGGCTTCTCCTCTCCCCTGCGTCTGGGAGGATGTTTCTCTCCACCCTACTCCTACTGCTGGACTCAGTGTGACAAGTCCAGGAGGGGAAGATGCAGATGCAGAGGGAAGGGGGCATGGGGCAGGGGTGCACAGGTGGGTGGCAGGGGCTGCTTGTGCCCTGAAGTCCCAGCTTGCTGACAGGCTCTGCTGCCACGGGCCAAAAGTGGGTAGCAATTCCCAGGGTCATGACTGGCCTCCCAGTCTCAAAGCTGGGGAGAGGCTGTGTTCAAGCCCCTGCCGCCCCGACTGGCAACCGTAAAGACTGTCCTTTACACAAGTTGCCGCCTTTCTTTCCTTGTTACCTAGATTCTCATAGGTGGGGTTAGCCAAGCAGGTGAAACTTTGTTTCTCAGGTGGGGAAACCGAGGCTCAGATGGGTCAGGGAGCGGCAAAGTAGGGGGAACTCCTCCATGAGAGCCGCTGTCCAGTGGGAGGCCGGGAAGGTTCTGAAGAGAGCTCTAGGGTCCACACAGAGAGACCCCACCCACTCCAGTTCTTTCACAGCCATTTCTTTCTTAAGCTCCAGACCCCACCCCATGAGTACGTATAGATGCTTCAGGTGCATGTCTAGCCCCAGGTGCGGAAACGTGGGGCCATCAGGAGTCGGAAGGGGGAGATTCTTAGGCCCCTGGCTCCCAGGTGAGGCCGTAAACACAGTAGCAGAAGGTTGAGACCCTTCTGTGGGCCAGGCAGCCTGCTCTTATCAGCCCATTCAAAGCTCACAAGTCCCCCATCCCATTATACAGACAGTGAGGTTCGGAGACGGTGAGTGGCCCACCCAGGGTCACACAGCTGGCCTGGCTAGAACTGGAGTCCATAAGCAGTGCAACTGGCCCACTGCCTGTGAAGTAGCACCAGCTCCTCTCGGCCGAGGAGCAGTGCCCAGGATAGCACTGGGGGAGGGCATCTAATCCTCCCCACACCCCACATCTCTGGCTGGGGCTGGGCGCTGGGCCATGTCAGCAGGGCTGCCCACCAGGATTGCTGAGACAATGCCAAGCCAGGCCTGCAGGGAGGGTACGTCTGCGAAGGAGCCGCGGATCAATACTGTGCATTAAGCCGCCGTAGGGGTGGGGTGAGCTCCCCTGCTCTGTTGCCCCCACAGCCACCTCCCCGGGCTGAGACGGCTGGGGCCCCTCCCACTCAGCCTTATCGGCCTCTGTGCGATAAAAGCCAGTCTCCACTGGGCTCTGCTCCGTTTCTGTCAGCCACAGCTCTCTCTGTAGTCCAGGCTGACCCTGGCAGGGTCGCCAGCCAGGCACAAAAGGCGTCTTGTCAGGGCTGCCAAGGACAGACCCAGACCTTCCGCGGTGTGAGGTCCTCATCGTGCCCGTCTCCCTTACCCCGTATCCCAGGCTGTGGGCTCTTGGGAGCAGGCCAAGGCCTTGCTTGGCTCTGCACTCCCAGTCTTGGGCATGGAGCCGGCGCTGAAAGAGACTTGTGGTCCTGGGGAGCCACAGACCCTGCAGATGCAGAGCGTGCATCCTGGGCCCATCGGGCCCACCCTCTAGGGGATCCGAGCTGGGAACCCATTCACCGGCAAGGTGACCCAAACAAACCCGAGACTCATCCAGCCTTAGGCTGGAGGGGACCTCAGGCCATCAAGTCCAGCTACCTCCCTGAAGCCTCTAAGGACTATAGCTGGGCCCATGACTCATCCAGCCTGCACCCCGGCAGAGATGGGGTGCCCACCGCCACTGAGGTAGCCCATTCTGTCTTTGGGCATCAGTGACTGTTGGAAAGCTCCTCCTCAGGCTGAGCAGAAATCTGCCTCCCAGTGACACCTGTTCCTTGGTCCTGACTGCTTGTCCACATAACAGGCCTTTGAATGATGGAGGGGGGCTTATTAAGCTTCTCTAAGCTCCCTTTCTGCTCCTTCTTTGCAAAATGGGGTCGATATTATCACTCCTCACTGCCACACAGGGATGACAGCACAGATGACGCAGACCCAAGGCCGGTGAAGAGAGGGGGCACTCCGCCAGCCCCCCTGTCCTTGGTGTGTCCTTTACCCTTCAAGGTAGCACGATTCATACCTAAGCAGTTCCAGAACATACTTGCTTATTTGGGGCTCAAGCTGACCCCCTCCACCACTATGTGAAAGTTGCAGTTGGGGAAGGGGCTCTGGGTGGCTGGGAGAGTAGGAGGGCTGGGGGATTGTCCGGCGAGGCAAGCAGGAAGGAGGTGGCCACCTGAGTTCCTGTGCTCCCTCACCCTGCTCCTTCCCAGCCTGCTCCTGCAATCCTTAACCTGGAGGAAAAACCAAACGGTCCATTGGCCAGTGGGCGGGGTGAAAAAGCCCTGTTTGCTAGTGGTTTCGGGGCTGGCCGTGAGCCAGTTCTTAGGGCCTCACCTGGAAACTCTCCTGTAGATGTCGTCCATGTAGATAGGGCTGTTCATGGGGTAAAGCTTGGGTGGCTGGATTGGCAGGGGTGGGGAGGGGTAAAGGCATGTGTGGCCCCATCTCCACCCTCTCCTTCCCACCTGGCTCCAGCCCAGCGGGCTCCCCATGGCATGGCACCTTGCAGCCTTTAACCCAGCATGCGTGCTGGGAGCTCAGCTCCAAGTCAGACCAACTAGGTTCAAAGCCCAGCTCTGCCACCCCCTGGCTGGGGAATCTGGGGCAACTTCTCTTACCCCCTAGTCTCAGTTTCCTCTTCTATACAGTGGGGTAATGATAGTCCCACATTTGCAGAGTAACAGCAGGATTAAATGTGAAAATGCTTACAGAACATTCATAGGCCGTGCCTAGGATGTAACCAAGTAGGTTGAAGGTGCTCAAAAATAACACCTGATCCTCACTGGGCCTCATCTGAGGACCAGTGGGCACAGCGTTCAGCATTTTACACACAAATGCACCGAATCTCCCCAGGAACTCCATCCAGTAGATGCTATTAATATTCTCATTCTGTAGACAAACTGAGGCTCAGAGAGGTTTTGTGACTCGCACAACAGCAAATGCCACTTGTTTCTCATCGTTGCTGTGTTTGGCTACCACTTTGCAAGTGCTTCTTTTATGCCCAGTGCCATGCTCATAAATGCTCAACGTGAAGCTGGGCTGTCACTGCTCATAGTGGCAGTCACTCCTGGGAGGACGAGGTAGTTCTCGGGGCTAAGAGCCAGCCTTGGAAAGCTGACCCACACCCTGGTTTCCAGGCTCTGGAAGCTGGAGCATGAGATGGCAGTGGGATGAGAAGCATCTTTGAAGGCTGGCTAATGGCTGCTACCCAGGTCCTCATCTGTCTGTCCAGATATCAGAGATTGGGTTGGGTCTTTTGCTCATTTCTTGCTGTTCCCACAAAGGAAATGGGATCTGGTAAAAGGCATCCTTTTCTGTCTCTCTGATCCAAGCCCAGCTTGCATACCTATGCTATTCTTGCCTGGGGGTGCAAAATCTGTGCTGCCTCCCCCAAAGGGCCCAGCCCACAGCCACTGGTCTCCAGGCATCCCCGGAACCAGTGTCCTTCTGAGGAGCGGCCGGCCTCATTTGCACCCTGACTCAGGGAGGCTCATCCAGCTAGAAGGTATGTATGGTGTGCTGCAGGCTTAGATAAGTGTTCATGACGCCACCTTCAGGACCCCAGGGCCTCACGTTCACCTGTGGAGTCCTCCCAGGACCCTTTGTAGTGGAGAGGACCCAAGCAGAGAGCCCCTGACCCCTCTCTGCTTCTGCTGACTCAGAGAACACATCTCCATGTCCAAAAGCATAAGCTGGCCATGGAGCTTGGCCCCCGCCTCCGTGGCCAGCTATGCGAGTCACATAAATCTTGAGAGGATACGGAAGATGCCAAACGTCTTAGTCTATCCAGACTGCTGTAACAAAAATACCATAAACTGGAAAGCCTACAACATTTATCTCGCACAGTCCTGGAGGCTGGCAGTCTAAGATCAGGGGGGCAGCCCCGATGGGTTCCGGTGAGGGCTCTCTTCTGGGTTGCAGACTGCTGACGGCTTGCTGTGTCCTCACATGGCAGAAGGGGCAAAGGAACTTTCCTGGGCAGCAATCTCACTCATGAGGGCCCCATCCTCATGACCTAATCACCAGAGTCCCACCTCCTAATACCATCACCTTAGGAGTCGGGTTTCAACATAATGAATGGGGGGGGGGGGGGGTGGTGGAAAGTATGCAAACGTTCAGTCTAGAGCACCAACTGTAATCAGTGGTGACCCACAGCAGCCACTACAGCTGGCCTCGGGCAGAAGTCAAAATCCCAGCTGGGCAGAGGTGATGATGGCAGGGAACGTGTGGTCCAGGAACAAAAGGGGCCAGAACCAAAAGCTTGGAAGGGAGGGGCTTTTCCATGCCTGGCAGTGTAGCCATCCTGAGTTGGCATCAGAGAGTATAGGCCATGAGGGCTGCAATTCTTTGGGGGATCTGGCTGTTTCTATGCTGTTTCTTCTGCTCCTTGGAGTGGGGCAAAGGAAGGCCTTCTTGTCCAGGGCTCAGAGAGGCCAGGCCAGGCAGATACACTGCTCAGACAAGCACATGCCAGGCTGTTCTCTGCATGGAGGCAGCTGACTGACTGGACCCTGGGGCGGCCCAAACACGGGGGACCTGACAAAAGGGCTGGAGGTGAAGGGCATGGCCCAATTGGATGCCAGGTCCCTGGCTGCACCAATCAGCCCAGTTCTCTCTGGGTTTTGGAACAGAGAATGGGAGAGGAGTGGTCTGTTAGTAGTCAGAGAAGAGACTGAAAAGCAGAGATGGGAGGGAGGAGAAAAGATTCAGCTTCTGCAGGTTCCCGATGACAAGGCCCTCACACGAACCCCTTTCCTTGAGGGTGGGCACAGGGACCCTCTGCAGTTTCTGTTCCACATTTAAGAGAGGGTACTAAAAAGAGAGCACCAGTAGGGCCCCCAGGGGCCAGCATGGAAGTGCGGGCAGAGATTGGAACACAAGGAGCCTGGGGCTTTGGCTTGCCAGCCAGACCTGAAGGTCAAAATCAGAATTCGAGGTGACCTGCACCCCTCCTTTTGCTCATCTGCTCAGCCCCCACTCAGGGGCAAGGAAAATCTGCGGGAGTCCACCTCTGTTTACCTGGGTGTGTCCAGGTTTTAGTGGCAGTGGCAGAACACCTGTGAACTCTGGCAGCTGAGTCACTCCCATGGGGTGAGGCTGAGAGCCTGAAGTTGTGCCTAAAAGGAAGCAGTCGGGGGATGGGGAACCAGAGATTCTCTGGTGAAAACCAAAGGCACTTAAGCAGGCTAGGTGCCACAGCCAGAAACGGTGGGACTGAGATCCATAGGTGGGGGCTAGACTCTCGGGGAGGGAGTCCAGGAGCGCAGCGGGCACCCCACTCAGGCAGGGCCGGGGTCTATGCAGGGCCTGGGTCTATTCAGCCATTCTGGGCTGGAGCCTGGGACTTGACATCCAAGGGAGTGAGTGGGACAGGGCAGAGTAAATCAGTGGTGGCTTCCCCAAGAAAGACAGCCTTCTCCAGGCTGAGGCCTGGCAGGTGGCAGGTGGCCGGTGGCTGCCAGCTCCTAGCACATGCCAGGCTCCCTGATTCCTTAGTCTGGTGAAACTCCTGTGGTTTCTGTCCTGGGAGAGGGAGGGGAGGGGAGAGAGGCTGGCCTTGACTCAGTTGCCAGGCTGCTCAAAGAAAGGTCCAGCCATGACCCGACCTGAAGTCTGGAGCTATGGGGGTTTTGGGTGAGGACCAAGAGCCCTTCTTCAAGGGAAGGAGGCTCTCTGTACGCAGGGTGTGGGCCAGGCCCAGGAGTCTCCCCATGCTGGTGTTCTGATAGCATGGGCCTGGGGACAGTTCTCCCACGGCTTCCTGGCAAATGGGCTGATTGCTTAAGTCATTTGACTTTTTGGGCCCAGATCTGGACAGACTTCACAGACTCCAAAGAACAACCTTGTACCCCAAAGCCACCTCTAGTTGTTGGGACAGCCCACCTGTCTCCAGTCCTCCGTCTACTTTGGCTTCCAACATCGAGGGTCCTTCCACTCTCCAGAGTCTCTTCCAGCAATGACCTGACCCAAGTTTTTCCCCCAGGAGAGGGGCTGCAGGCCAGTCACAAATCTCTAGCCAGTGCCACCACAGGCTTAGGGCCATGGTCTGTGGGCACTCAGGCCTGACAGTGCAGGTCCTGGGGTATGGGGACTCCCTCAGCTGGGACAGGAGGGTGTGATGGAGGAGTAGAAGCAAAGAAAGGCCCTTCAAACCACAGGTCCCAGCGCCCCAGCTCCTGGCCAACCAGGATGCCAATTCACAGACATGGCCACCAAATTCCAGCTTGATCCATAACTGCTTCCTGTGCAGAGAAGCCATTCTTTTAATTTTTTAAAATGTTTTATTTATTTGAGAGAGAGAGAGAATGAGAGCAGGGGAGGGGCAGAGAGTGGGAGACACAGAATCCAAAGCAGGCTCCAGGCTCTGAGCTATCAGCATAGAGCCCTACACAGGGCTCAAACTCAGGAACCTTCAGATCATGACCTGAGCCAAAGTCGGAAGTTTAATGAACTGAGCCACCCAGGTGCCCTGCAGAGATGCCATTCTTAAATAGACTGTAAACTCCTCAAGGGTGGGTCTATGACTTGCAATTCTCTGGTCCTCAGCTCCACAGAGTAGTAGGTGGGTCCAATAAGCACTCTCCACCCAGTACCTGGATGGGGGTCCCCACCAGCAGAAGCTGCATATAAGCCCCTGCCTGCCCGCCTGTGTAAAATGAGGGGCAGCTGGACCAGCCGGGTCTGGGCTCCCACTCCACCTCCTGCCAAAGGCCTGGCTCCCTGTGGCTTGGCCAGGCCAGGCCAGGGAGGGAGGGCAGAGCAGGTGGGGAACTGGCTGGAGGTGTAACTTGAGCCGGGAGGAATTCCCTGCCCTTCCTCCATGCTTTTATTAAAGTAGGGCGGGGAAGGGCAGGCTTCCATCGGAAAAATCTCCCAGGCTGCCGGGGGGAGGTGGGGAAGCCGCCGGGAGGCTGGGAGGGAGCACCGGCCCGGCTGCAAATAGAAGGCACGCAGCAGCTCTGGCTGCGAGGCTCCAGGCCGGCCCAAGGGCACCGAGGCCCCAGCCTACCGGAGCCAGCACCGAGGCTGGCTCTCTCCTCCTACCGTCTCATTCCTGTCCTATCTACCCTCTCTTAGTCCCGGACTGGGAGTGGGTCTTACAGGTCGGGACAGAACAGACCCCGCTTTTGCTGGGGCAACGGAGCTGGTGCCCTCACTGTCTATGGTCAGGAGGACGGCGCTGGGCGACCCACAGAGCCCGCGTGGGGTATTGCGGGGGGATGCAGGTTGGACCTCGCTCTACGCCAGGAGGCCGCGCCTGGTCACCTGCCGGACGGATCCGGAGACGGTTTTATCAGGCGGGCTCCTGGTAAAAACACGTGCGGAGTCTGCCCTCTCCGACGTAGGGGCACTAGTGGGAGGAAGCCCCGGGGGAGACAGGGTCTCTCTTGGACCCACCTGGTCATGGAGCGGTTTCCGCGTTAAGAGCCCAAGTAAGTCGCCAAAGCGCCCCCGCAACCGGAGACTGCTGTCTCGGAGGTTCTCACCCCTTCGCCCCCTCCGGGCCCGCTGCGCGCACGGCTCGCTGTCACCCAGTCCAAGGGCTACCGAGGCGGGAGCGCTGCCTGCTCCGCCCGTGGTCCCCCCAGGGCAGCCCCCTCCCCACTCGCAGAGGACGTCACAGCGCGCCCGCCAGGCTCTCGAGGAATCGGCCGCCCGGAGAGAGGAGAGGAGGAGAGCGAGGGCTGGGGGCAGCAGAAGCGACTCCTGGGACGCGGGCTGGGGCGGATCAGAGTCCGGGGTAGGGGTAGAGAGTGGGCACGAGCCCTACGCCCTCCAGGATTTGGGATGAGGTGCGCCGCAGAGGGCGAGCTGGGGAGAGGCAGTTTGCCGGGCCCCATTCTTCCCCGCCCCCCATCTCCCGGACGGGGGCTCGTCTGCGCGCCCTCCACCCCTCTCCCCAGGCTGCGGGCGTGGCTCCCTCCCTCCCAGCCCCCGAGCCCCCAGCCCGCCGCAGAGGGGCCGGGCGGGGGTCCTTACCTCGGCATTGACTTCTGCGTCCTCCGCCGCTGCGCCGCGGCCCAGGCAGCCCAGAAGCACCAGGAGCAGCGGCAGCAGTCGCGGCCGCGCCGCCGCCTCCCGGCCGCCAAGGAGACTGCCCGCCCAGCCCGGCCGTCCGGGCGCGCTCCGGTCGCTGCTCATGCTCTCGGTGCCTAGCCCGGCCGGGAGCGCTGCACGCAGGGCTCGCCCGCTGGCCGGCGCCGGGGCCCCGCACGCGGCTCGGAAACTTGCGACGCTCCCTGGCTCCCCGCCCGGCGGGCGCGCGGCAGACCTCCTGGTCCGGGTCCCCGCCGGAGCCGCTTAGGTCCCCTCGGCAAATTCCCACGCCCGAGGAGAGGCGGGCAGGGCAGGTCCGGGCGCGCGGAGCCGGCCCGCGGGGGAGGTGGCCGGCCGGAGCCGCCCGCCGCGGGGTCCCGCTGCCTCGGCGCCCGGGGCCCGGCTCCCGAAAGCAAGCGCAACTCCTGAGCCTTTGTCTGGCTCAGCGCTCCGGCCGCCCGGTCCCGCGGCGCCCCCTGCGCGCCCAGCTCCCTCTGTCCATGCCCGGGGCCGGGTGCTGCCCGGAGCGCGCGCCTCCCGCCCGGGGACTGCTCGCCCCGCGCCCGCCCGGGCCGGGGTCCCCGCTCAGTCCCGGGAGGAGGCGCAGGGAGCCGGTCGGAGCGAGTGAGCGAGCCAGGGAGCCGGCGCCCGACGTCCCCGGCGAGTTCGGCGCAGCTCCGGGCGCTCCCAGCCCTCCTCCCCGCGCGCCGCGGCCGCCGCCGCTCTTAAAGGGCCAGTGCTCTCTCTGCGCGCGGACCCGGGCGGGGGCCGGGGGCGGTACCTCAGCCCGGGGCTTCTCTGCAGCAGGTGCCGAAGGTGGAGTCCGACCAGCGGCCCTTTTACTCTTCCAGGAAGGAAGGGATCCTTGCCTGCCCGCCCCTGTCACTCCCACCCTTGCTTTTGGAGGGCAGGTTTGACACTCCCCTCCTCCCCAGCGACCCCATAGAGAGAGAGAGGGAGCTAGGAGGAAGGACGACTCTTCTTTCTTCCACCTGGCGGGTGTGTGGGGCTATAAGGCTGTGGTGGTCAGGAAGGAGGCAAGAGGGACCCAAGAGTCCTGTCTTGGGGTGGAAGTGGAGGGGGAAGATAAAAATCTAATGGTTTGTTGGCCCCAGTTCTCTTCAAATCCTCAAGATGTCTTTGGCCCTTGAGTGACTCTCCTCAAGTTACCAGGTGGGCAGCCTGGGCAGTGTGGTCAACAGAACACAGGTTTCAGAGGGAGGCAGTTGCCCTTTTCACCATTGCCATTTACCTGCTGCCTCCATGTCCTTATCTGGAATGTGGGGCAAAGGGCGGCTGAGGGTTGGTATGTTTGGGCTGTTTCCACACATTAACTGTCCAAGTAGAGGACACTGTTTTGTGCAAGTGAAATGTAACAGTGTGGTTTCTCAAGGTGATGGGCCAGTGGGCAAAACTTCTACAGCACAGAGCTGAAAGTGCTAGATTTCATTCTATTTCAGGAGCAGCTTGAGATCTGCTTGGTTGCAGAAGGCCTGAGGTGGTGCGGGGGCCTTGGAGGTCTAAAGTCCCCAGAGGCTGCGAATCCAGACCAAGGGCAGTCTTGGTCCTAAAACTGGCCCCAGGGACTGAGACCTTCCCTCTCTGCCACTTCCTCACCCTGGAAATGGGAACCTTCCTTACCTGAGGGCAGGTTTCTCTAGAGTAAGCCCCAGGGTGGTCCAGCAGGCCTCACCTCCAGGAACCAGACAGATCAGATCAGATCCCAGATCAGACAGAGATCTGGCTGAGCTTACAAATGGCCTGTTCAGAGACCTTGCGGGTGAAGAAAAAGACCACTGGGAAGGAAAACAGAAGTTAAACTAGCAAAGATAGATTTTATTCAAAAAATTATTGCAATAGGAGAAGAGAGATTCCAGTATAGAACTGGACCCAGTTCCAAATACAACCAGAACAAGGGGGTAGTTTATAGCCCAGGAGCAAGTGGAATGGGAAGGGGTGGGGATTGATGGATGGGAGATGACTAAAAGGAGACATAGAGTCTGGGGGGTTTGGCTGAAGGCAGCCAGGGTGATCAGATATTACCTGGGGAGTAGTAGGGATGGGAGTGTGATAAGATCTCAAGGGTGGAAAGTTCTAGATAAACTAACTTAGCAGAATTCTTGCTAAAACTGGATTCTAGAAGGAAGTACAAAGAAGGGCCTGGCTGGAAAGAGGGTTCATGGGATCCTGACAAAAGTTTGGTCAAGCAAAGAATCTTAGAAATTCTTCTTTCCTCATGTGGTCACCTTTATTTGTTTAGAGCCTTGCTGACAATAGATAACTGCTGTCCTGTATGACCCACAAGACATTTAATGAGAGGGATACCTTGAAGACAAATAGATGAAGATTAGAGACGGGACCAGTATGTGTACCCAACTTCACAGACCTTCAGAGATCTACCAGAAGCCCCAGTGCCTGTTGTCCTTGGCAGTGTGAGTGCAATGACAGTGAAACATTTCTTCATTCACCTCTCGGCCCTTCCTGCTTGTGGCAAAGGTGTCAAGCAGATTGCTGGGGATGAAGGCATAGTAGTTGTGTCTGACCACTGTACAAGTGTCGCCTTCTGTAGCCAGGGTCACATCGAGGGCACTGAAGTTGAGAACAGCCCACTTGGGTTTCTTGTAGTTGGCTAGTCACTGATCCGGAAGCCCATGCTGAGATTATCCAGGGACGAGGTGAATGGCTTCAGTAGCAACGAATAGGTGATTCTGTTGTTGAATCTAACCTCTTGAGCCAGGTGATAGATTTCTGGGGATGGTACCCCAAAAGTGGCAAACGTCTCCCCAAAAAGTCGTGAGGTCCTGGATGGAACATAGGCCCAGTTCTGTAGTTGTTTTTGTGACCTCACCTTCCCTGGAACTGAGCTCACCTATGGGGGGATCTGCAATGTTGTGAATACCTCTTGTTCTTACAGTAAGAGTGAGATGACCCTGAGGGAGGGGGTGATTGTTTTAGAGATAATTTAAGAATGCAAGGAGATTGTAGGAAATAGAGTAAGATGAGATTGGTAAGATCAGGAAGGTAGCAAGGCGCCTGGGTGACTCAGTCGGTTGAGCGGTTGAGCGTCTGACTTCAGCTCAGGTCAGGATCTCATGGTTGGTGAGTTTGAGCCCCGCCTCGGGCTCTGTGCTGACAGCTTGGAGCCTGGAGCTTCATCAGATTCTGTGTCTCCCTCTCTCTCTCTGCCCCTCCCCCACTCATTCTCTCTCTCTCTCTCTCTCTCTCTCTCTCAAAAAAAAAAAAAATAAAAAAAAAAAAAAAAAAAAAGATCAGCAAGGTAGCAAGATCTGGCCCAGTTGGCAGGTAACACGCAATAAGCTTGGGTTCCCCAGAAAAAATCAGAATCATCGGGAATTAGCGGTCATAGAAATAATTATCTGGTCACTGAGGATAACCAAAGCATGCTAATTTTGAGGATGAGGAAAAAGATTTGTCTGGAGGTGGTTTATGGTGGCTGGGCTCCCTCTGAGAAACTAGGTAAGAGGAGCATTGGGGACATTTTCTTTCATATGAGGGATCTCCAGGGAACCCTGTAGTGGCTGAGGCGGAGGTTATGTTGGACTCAGTGATGGCTAGGTAAATGTGACAATGAATGTACATTCTCAGAAAGGGGTCCATGATAAAACGACAATGGAAAGGACAGGACCCTTGTGAGGATAGACTGGAGCAGGTGTGGGGTTTTCTCAGAATGCCTAGTTGCAAGGTTTAAAATGGTGGCGGGGGAGGGGCACCTGGGTGGCTCAGTCAGTAAGCTTCAGACTCTTGGTTTCCTCTGGGGTGATGGGCTAGGGTCATGATGATGCCAGGCCCTGTGTCAGCCTGGGGCCTGCTTGGAATTCTCTCTCTAGCCCTCTCTCTGTGCTCCTCCCCTGCTCACGCTCTCTCTCCCTCAAAATAAATACACAAACTTTAAAAAAAAATTTTTTTTTTAAATTGCCACACCTTTATGGTTTTTCCAGGCTTATGTTTCTGGCCGTTGAGGTAAGGGGCAAGTGCTTGGTCAAAATAAAAGCCAAACAGTCCAAACCACTGTTTGTCTACTATATCCTATATTTTGTCCCTTTCCATGTGAGCTGTGTTGTTTAAACCACACACAATGATTCGAGAGATAAACTTGGGGCCTGTGGGGCAGACGTCTTGGTATTTCCAAAGTCCACCTGAATGGCTAAAATATCCAACTCTTCCCCATCCAATTCTTTCTGAGTCTGAAGCTGTCCTTTGGGCCATGTGGATTTCTTTTATGATTTCCTTAGGAGTCATCCTAAAATAGTTTTCTCTCTCACAAGGGAAGGTGAATAATCCTACCAGGGATCTAGGTGCTCAAAGAGGATACAAGGGTGTAGTCCCAAGGCCTGGAGACTGCTTGGATTTCTTGGGTGGTCAGGGAGGAGACTGCTGATTTAGCATACTTATCAGTCAATCTATTTCCTTAGGTCTCCTCTGAATTTTCTGTACAGTGTCCCTCAGTTTTTACCATAGTAATCTGCTGGGATAATAACAATGCCTCTAGGGGTGCCTGGGTGGCTCAGTCGGTAAGCGTCAGCCTTCAGCTCAGGTCATGATCTCATGGTTTGTGAGTTTGAGCCCTGTGTCAGGCTCTGTGCCAACAGCTCAGAGCCTGGAGCCTGCTTCAGATTCTGTGTCTCCCTCTCTCTCTCTGCCCCTCCCCTGCTTGCACTCTGTGTCTCTCTCTCTCACTCTTAAAAACAAATAAACATTAAAAAAAAACAACCTAAAAAACAATGCCTTTAGAAGTCCTGCTATTTGGGGTCCATTTTTGACTGGGGTATTGGCTGCTGTCAGGAGTCCCGTCTGTTTTGCATACCTGAATCATGTATTACCCCAAGGGCATAGCAGCCATAAGTGTATGTTAACCTTTATTCCTTCTGCTCTTATGCAAGCCACAGTAAGAGCAATTAACTCAGCAACCTGGGCTGATCTGACACTTGGCAGGGCTCAGTATTCTAGAAGTTTATGTTGATCAGTGATGGCATATCCAGACTGGAAGGCCACATCCTCCTTCCAGAGGTAGGAGCCATTGAAATGAAGAGTAAGGTCAATGCGTGTGGGGGGCGGGGATGGGCGGAGGTTGGGGGGTTCTGATTAATCTCACCTAGGACGGGACCAGGGACTAGTGTTAAAGACACCATCTTGAGGCATCTCATTAGTGGGTAAGGGAAGAAAGGTGGCAGGGTTTTGATGGTGATGTTTGGTGATGTGAGAGAGAGAGAATAGTAAGATTTCATAAGAGGTAAGTCAAGATGCAGAAAAGTACTATGTGTTTTCATCAAGCAATAGGGTCTGTGCAGTAGGAGGAACATGCATGTCGAGCAAATGAGCTAATGCTAAATCAGAGGTAGGTCGGACAAACTTGATGGTTGTAGCCACGGCTCATAGGCAAGGTGGATATGTCTTAGTCACTGGGTCGAGGTCTTCCATGGCCATTATGCTTTTTGGACAACACTCTGAGAGCATGACCCTTTTGTTCATGCACAAAGAAAATGGCAGGGAGTAATTGGTAAGCCTAAAGGTGGGGAATGAAAGTAGAGAGAGAATCCTCAAGGTTTTCAAAAGCATCTTTGGATAGGGGGCCCCAGACTTCTGGGTCTGAGGATGACTCCTTAGTCATGACATAGAAGGGTGAGGCAATCATAGAGAAGGTAGGTATATCTGCATCCTACAATATCCCACAAGACCCAAAATACCTATCAGTTGTCGTCCTCTTTCAGGGAGAGGCAAATGTCGCATAGGGGAGCCTTGGTCTGTGAAGATAGTTTTTACCCTACAGCTGAAACACCATGACCCAGATGTCAGACACACAAAGAGCATAGCTGAAGTTTGTCTGTAGCCACTTTGTGGCCCTTTCTTGCTAATGCCTTAAGAAGATAGCTGTCAGAAACGTCGTCATAACTGTCATTCTACTCTTAGCACCACATTGTGGCCCTTTCTTGATAATGCCTTAAGAAGGTAACTGTCAGAACGTCGAAGGAAGTCATCTACATACTGGATTAAGGTGGGGTCTTCTGGGAATTTTAGTTCCCTCAAACTGCCATGTGGGGTGTGTGAGAAGTACTAGGAGCCTCCGCAAAGCCTTGGGGCACAACCGTCCAGGTACATTGGTGGTTATTTCCCGGGTGAAGGCACACAAGTATCGGATTCCTTACGAAGGGGAATTCTAAACAAGGCGGAACACAAATTGAAGACTGAAATATTAGGGGTTGGAAGGAATAGCAGACAGGATAGTGTTAGGATTAGGAACCAAGACAAATCTGGGTTTAACTGTTTTATTGACAGATCTTGGATCTTGGGCTGATAGTTTTGCCTATTTGGTTTTTTTTTTTTTTTTTTTTTTTTATTTAATGGCCCAAATGGGAGTATTACATGGATTAGAAGTGGGTATTAGAAGTTTTTTTTTGTCTAATAAACCTTGGATTATTGGGTGGGGACCCTCATGTCCTTCTAGCTTTAAGTGATATTGAGGAATCCTGGGGAGGGGCATGGAAAGATCTATTTCTACTTTAAGGGGTTCTGTATCTATATGCGTCCCTATTAGTGGAGTTTTGTGGGGTTTTTTGGTTTTTGTTTTCGTTTTTGTCCATAAAGAGGAAGGAATCCTGTCTAATAGTTGATTTAAATAGTCAGTGACATAGGTATTAGTTGAAGGGGGCAAAGGACCCCAGGGAAGTCAGACACAGCTATTAGGGGACATAGACGTGAAAGGGAGGAGTCAGGGAGCTGTAGGAGGAGTCCTTCCAGCGCAGGATAAACTTTTATATCCCACCTCATGAGAAGATTCCTTCCTAACAGCCTTCCACGGCCGCAGAACTGAGAAGAAAGTAATGCTGAGCTTTAAGAGGTCCCATGGAAATATTAAGGGGTTGAGACAGAGACAGTTTATGAGGTAAATTATCAAAACTCACCACTGGTAAAGTTTGGTGACTCCGAGGAAGGGGGGCAGGGGACAGTGTGGTGCTAAGGGTAGAATGTGTTGCCATGGGGGGGGGGGGGGGTCAATGAGAAGTGTGGTGGGTGTCCTTTAACGTGGAGGGTTGTTTCTCCTTGTGAGTTTGGTGGCAGTTGAGGGCACTGGACGAGAGTCCAGCGTTTTCTGGTGAGGAAGGGACTTGGGCCTTTTCCTTCCTTTTGAAGCCTGGCACTCCCAGACCCAACATCCTTTTTTCTTACAATTTCAGCAAGCGTTTTGATCAAAGGGAGATCCTGATTTCAGAATTTGCTGTAGATTAAAAATTTCAGGTCCTCCTGGCTGTTTTAACTGTAATACCATAAGCTTGCTTTCTGGATTTCCCAGTGTTTTTGAACTAGTATGTTCTTAATGCTGGGCTAATGTCTGGCACTTATACACGTCTGCCTTTTACCAGTTAATATTATTTTTCTGGAATGTGTCATGGAGCTCTAGTCTGAGACCATTTCC